TTTCGGGCCGACCGAGTGTCCTGCAGCCGCTCGAACGCAGAGGTCCGAGGCTTCTTTGACTTGGGGTCTCCCAAACGGTCAAAAGCAGACATTCGCTCGAAGGAGGACGAGTCGTCCTCTTCTTCCAGCCTGGAAAGCGTATCAGCCATCACAGCCTTCCCGTTAGGCTTGGTCGCCTTCTTCTTCTGGGACCGCCTTACTTTTTTCTTTTTTCCTTGGGAGCCTGTAGGTCCAGCCTTCCCGCCTGTGGGTCCCCCAGCCACATCTTCCACCACAACCTCGCGGTTGGGCGCAAGTGCAGCCAGCACCTCTTTGAATTGTTCGGCCGTGATGCCAACCCTCTGAATGAGGGCCTCAGCCTCCCCGGTGGTGATGGGAGGGTTTCGACCTCCAGTGGTGCTGTTCTCCCCCTGTTGGGGAGCTCTAGTACCTACATTGGCGTTACTGCGCGTTTGCACCATCGTCTTAATGGAGGATTTCCTCTGAGTATGATTCTCGAACTCTCAACGAGAGCACCAATTTGATGGACAATAAATCCACCAAATGATCCGATTCACGAAGCGGATCGTAAGAACAAAATTAAGAACGAGAATTCGAGAATTGGGTATGTATTATTAGCTTGATCTAGCTTGAATTTCCTCGTTTTTGGGTCTCATCTATTTATACATGAGCTATATGCACCTAAGGTAACGCATAATCGATGGAGTCTATCCCGTTAAGGGAGCGATCCCCTTTTTCCGGCTCTGTAACGGCCAATTTGCTCCGTCTCCTTCTCCGGACCGGCTCTGCCAGCTACGTTTGGTCTAAAGTCAACCGGGCTTGGCTCCATGGGCCGGCCCAGACCTGAGTATTTTCCGAGTGTCTGACCCGAAGTAGTGTAAATGGTTCAGTTGGGCCGCCCACTGGGTATCGGCCCATCAAAACCATTATTTTGAAATACATATAAGCAAGACCAACACCCCTACTTGTAATTGAGATATAGTTCAATTCAAAGCAAGTGTAAAACAGATTTGAGAAATGATTTGCCTATGTAGGATTCGAACCCACATTTGTATTACATACCGCTCTACCATTTGAGCTAATAGGCAACACATTATTTTTTCAAAGAGACTCACATCTTACTCACACTCAAACATATAAAACATACAATTGATGCAATTGGTACATAGAACACACCAATCAAAGACATTGCAACTAGCACATAGCCATTGTTATTTGCAAGAACACATTCGATAATTAATTTAAATACCCTTCTAATTTTTCTTTTACTCAACACTCTTATTTGATAATGCATTATCTTTATTTCAGAATGCAACAGTAACATAATAGTAAGCATCAATTTGTTGATTAAACTATAATCAAATGTAAAATACATTTGAGGAATGGTTTGCCTATGCAAGTTTTAACACACATCTGTAGTACATATCACTCTATGGTTTGAGCTAATAGAAACTGGAAACAAAAAGAATAAAAAAATCAAGATAAAAAAATATAAAGACCATAGTGATGCATACATTATATGCATGACATAGACCTCATATATGCATACATTATAATAAATCTGTGCATTAAAAAGGCAACCTGATATGGTAGCTACGTATACAATATGAAAGATTAGGTTTTTGACTGAATGCAATAAGAGGACAAAGATATGCAAGACAGAGACTTCAAAATGCAAAATTGCACATCATTTAAGCATGTTACACTGCATCTTACATACTCAAAGATCCATATAAAGACTGTATGCCATGCATTTAAACATGAAATAAACTTTCATTCAACTACTATTTTAGTTTCAAATTGCACCTGGTTGTCTATAAGGCATTTTTACAAATAGCTTATGTGCAAAAATTAAAAAGGATAAATCAACTAGACATATATTGATCTTGTATATTATGAGAATTCTAAATAATTAAAACTAAGAAATGTAAAAAAAGAAAATTGAATTTAAGTAATTAATACTTTTATAGTCCTTATTGAAAAAATTGAATTGAAACACTAAAAAAGTCTCCCTATAGTTTTTTTTTCCGTTGGAATAGACCAGCGCTAAACCAGGGCTGTGACTTCTTCTCGTCGAAATCATCCTCCGTCTAGTCCTTGTGCGACATCACCACCGTGTGCACCCTTGTCGGAATCTATGCCCTGACTGAACCTTAGGTCTGTGTGTCGGCTCGATTTGTATATATACTTAAAGTGATAGAGTGAAAGTGAACATTGATGTAATAGGAGAGGCGGAGGTTTAAGATTGGAAGCAGAGAAATCGATGCGTTAAAGTGAGAGAGGAGCAAGATGGATCTATAGGCAGCGAGAAAATCCCGGAAGCAAATAGGAGAGAGAATGAGATCGGTGCGTGTGAGACGTGTAAACCCCAAAAAGCCCTTCAAGACTTGGCGCAAGTAAGTGCGTGTGCGATCAGATCTAACGGTGGAGAGGCATTCTTATTTCTTTCATAAGATTTCATTCTCACCGGAACATATATATATATATATATATATATATATATATATATATATATATATATATATATATATATATATATATATATATATATATATATATATATATATATATATATATATATATATATATAT